TGGGAAAGTTGGACAGATACATGCAAAAAAAAAGATGAAACTAGACCACCAACTTACACCATATTCAAGAATAAACTCAAAATGGATAAAAGACTTAAATTTAAGTTGAGAAACCATAAAAATCCTACAAGAAACCATAGGCAGCAAAATCTCAGACATCTCTTGTAGTGATATGTTTACAGATACATCTCTTTTTTTTATTGCTTAAAGTATTACAAAGGGTATTACATATGTCTCCTTTTCTCCCCCGCCCTTGACAATCCCCTGGCCTCCCCTACCCCCCAGTGTCTTGTGTCCATTGGTTATGCTTATATGCATGCATATAAGTCTTTCGGTTGATCTCTTACCCACCCCTTCTGCCCCCCTACCCTCCCCGGCCTTCCCACTGCAGTTTGACAGTCTGTTTGAGGCAGCTCTGCCTCTGTACCTATTTTTGTTCATAAGTTTATAATGGTCTTTATTATCCATGAATAAGTGAGATCATGTGGTATTTTTCCTTCATTGACTGGCTTATTTCACTTAGCATAATGCTCTCCAGTTCCATCCATGCTGTTGCAAATGGTAAGAGTTCCTTCTTTTTTACAGCAGCGTAGTATTCCATTGTGTAGATGTACCACAGTTTTCTAATCCATTCATCTACTTATGGGCACTTAGGCTGTTTCCAGATCTTAGCTATGGTGAATTGTGCTGCTATGAACATATGGGTGCATATATCCTTTCTGATTGGTGTTTCTGGTTTCTTGGGATATATTCCTAGAAGTGGGATCACAGGGTCAAATGGGAGTTCCATTTTTAGTTTTTTGAGGAAACTCCATACTGTCTTCCATAGTGGCTGCACCAGTCTGCATTCCCACCAGCAGTGCACAAGTGTTGCTTTTTCTCCACATCCTCTCCAGCACTGTCGTTTGTTGATTTGTTGATGATAGCCAGTCTGACAGGTGTGAGATGGTACCTCATTGTTGTTTTGATTTGCATTTCTCGGATGATTAGTGACTTTGAGCATGTTTTCATATGTCTCTTGGCTTTCTGAATGTCCTCTTTTGAAAGGTGTCTATTTAAATCCTTTGCCCATTTTTTGATTGGATTGTTTATCTTCCTTTTGTTAAGTTGTATGAGTTCCCTATAAATTTTGGAGATTAGGCCCTAATCAGATATGACATTGGCAAATATGTTTTCCCGCGCAGTGGGCTTTCTTGTTGTTTTGTTGATGGTTTCTTGAGATACATCTCTTTTTAAAAATATATATATTTTATTGATTTTTTACAGAGAGGAAGTGAGAGGGATAGAGAGTTAGAAACATCAATGAGAGAGAAACATCGATCAGCTGCCTCCTGCACGCTCCCTCCTGAGGATGCACCTGCAACCAAGGTACATACCCTTGACCAGAATCAAACCTGGGACCCTTCAGTCCGCAGACCGACGCTTTATCCACTGAGCCAAACCTGTCAGGGCTACAGATACATCTCTTAAGGCAGTGGTTCTCAACCTTCCTAATGCTGCGACCCTTTAATACAGTTCCTCATGTTGTGATGACCCCCAACCACAAAATTATTTTTGTTGCTACTTCATAACTGTAATTTTGCTACTGTTATGAATCGTAATGTAAATATCTGATATGCAGGATGTATTTTCATTGTTACAGATTGAACATAATTAAAGCATAGTGATGAATCACAAAAACAATATGTAATTATATATGTGTTTTTCCGATGGTCTTAGGCGACCCCTGTGAAAGGGTCGTTCGACCCCCAAAGGGGTCGCGACCCACAGGTTGAGAACCGCTGTCTTAAGGCGAAGGAGAAAATAAACAAATGGGACTACATCAAAATAAAAAGCTTCTGCACAGCAAAAAAACAAAAAAAAAACAAAAAACATCAACAAAATGAAAGGGAGCTTACTCTATGGGAGAACATATTTGGCAATGATACATCTGATAAAAAAGCTAATGTCCAAAATATATAAGGAACTCATACAACTTAACAAAAGGAAGGCAAACAATCCGATTTAAAAATAGACAAAGGACCTAAAGAGACACTTCTCCAGAGACATTTGAAAAAATGTTCAGTCACTGGTCATCAGAAAGATGCAAATCAAAATGACGATGAGGTACCATCTCACACCTGTCAGGATGGCTATCATTAACAAATGAACAAATGACAAGTGCTGGTGAGGATGTGGAGAAAAGGGAACCCTAGTACACTGCTGGTGGGAATGCAGACTGTTACAGCCATTATGGAAAACAGTATGGAGTTTCCTCAAAAAAATTTAATATGGAACTGCCCCCTTTGATTCCGCTTCTAGGAAATGTCCTAAGAAACCCAAAACACCAATCAGAAAGAATGTATGCACCTCTATGTTCACAGCAGCACAATTTACAATAACTAAGATGTAGAAACAGTCCACGTGCCCATCACTAGATGAGTGGAAAAAAAGCTGTGGTACATTTATACCATGGAATATTATGCAGCAGTGAAAAAGGAGAATCTCTTACCCTTTGAGACAGGATGGAGGGATCTGGAGAGTATCATACTAAGTGAAATAAGTCAGTCAGAGAAAGACAAATATCACATGATCTCAATCATGTGGAATCTAAGTAACAAAATAAACTGATGAATAGAATGGACCCAGAGACATGGAAACATGGAACAGAGTGTGGAATCTCAGAGGGAAAGCAGGGAGGGTGGGTGGGAGGTAATCAATCCAAGACCTTGTATGCATATATGCATGGCCTATGGACACAGACATGAAGGCCTAGGGCGGCGGGCAGGGATGGGCTGGAGGGGGACATATGTAATACTTTCAACAATAAAGAATTATTATTATTTTAAATATATTTTTTATTGATTTCAGAGAGGAAGGGAGATAGAGAGAGAGAGAAATATCAATGATGAGAGAGTATCATTGATTGGCTGCCTCCTGCGCACCCGCTACTGGGGAGGACTGAGGCCACAACCTGGGCATATGCCCTAGACTGGAATTGAACGTGGGACCCTTTAGTCCACAGGCAGACGTTCTATCCACTGAGCTAAACCAGTTAAGGCAAGAATTATTTTAAAAATATATATATTGTGTTAAGAGGTGATGAGTGCTAGGAGGGAAAAGGCAGGCAAGGTGCATGAGGTAGGTCAGCATTTGCTATATGATGGCTCAGGAAAGACCTGGCCGAGGAGGAAACATTTGAGCAAAATCTTGAAGGAAGGGAGGAAGTGAGTCATGTGTTTATGTGCCAGAAAGGCATGCCAGTGAGAGGGAATGGATGGTAAAAAGGCCTGGAAGTGGGAGTATGTTTCATGTGTTAGACTAAAGGAACATGTAGGGGCACGTGTGATTGGACCAGGGTGAGCAAAGAGGAAAGTGGTGAGAAATGAGGTCAAAGTGGTGATGGAGCAGATCATGTGAGGTCTAATGGGGAGGGCTCTAAGCAGAGGAGTGACTCTAGTGTTCACAGGTTCCCTCTGACTGTGTGTGGAAGACATATGGGCAGTGTTGAGGGGTGAGATCCAGGGAGGGAACAAAGTTAGGCAGGCAAGTGTGGGGCAAAGGAGCTGAGAGGTGGGGGGAGAGAATGGCTCTATTTTGAAGTCAAGGGACACAGGCTATCTGAATGGACTGGATATGGGGGTGAGAGAAAGAAAGGTTTCCAGGATAAGGCCAAGGCTTTTAGCCTGCACATGGAGGGATGAGGTGCCATTAGTTGAGATGGGTTGTGGATATATTAAATTGAAGATGCCCATTAGACTCCCAGTGAGTGAGTGGCTGATAGGTATAGTTTTTGGCCCAGGTCCAGCATGAGAAGTGCTTGAACTATGACTGCTAACTCCTCTCCACAGTCACTGTCAAGCCCAGACCACAGTTTCCGGATACCCATGTCCCTTTGACAATTGGGTGAAACCCTTGGGACATACCCCTGAAATGGGCCAGGGGTCATTCATTCTGAAGGCAAAGTCACAGGGGTTTCCTCACCCCTGTCCCCACCTGGCTGCACTTTCCTCATATATCCCATGCTCTGCCAGGTCAATTGTTTGAGAATTCAAGCCCAACTTCAACCCTATAAACTAGGTGCACCTGACTAGGTGTTAGCTGCTCCCTAGGTGTAGGCTTTATTGTTTTATATGTGTTTTTCTGGAGGCAGCTAGAAGCTACATGGCCCAGTTTGGGTTTCAGCTCTACCACTTAACAGCTATGTGGCTTTGGATAGTTAATAAGTTGCTTGACCTTTCTGTGCCTCACTTTTGCCATCTCTAAAATGTACTGTAGCTCAGCCAACATGGCTCAGTGGTTGAACATTGACCTATGAACCAAAAGGTCACAATTCAATTCTCAGTCAAGGCACATGGCCAGGTTGGGGGCTCGATTCCCAGTGTGGGGCATGCAGGAGGCAGCTGATCAATGATGCTCTCCCATCATTGATGTTTCTCTCGCTCTTCCTCTCCCTTCCTCTCTGAAATCAATCAAAATATATTAAAAAAATAAATAAAATGTATTATATCCTCAACCTTGCAAGGCTGTTTGGAGAATCAAATTTGAATATGTAAAGTGCTTAGAACACAGTGCTTTGCACACAGTAACAGCTATATAAGTATTTACAGTTATTAGAGTATTGGAAAAAATACTCATCATTGATGTTTGGTTTTTTTGTTTTGTTTTTTAATATATTTTATTGATTTTTCACAGAGAGGAAGGGAGAGGGATAGAGAGCCAGAAACATCAATGAGAGAGAAACATCGATCAGCTGCCTCCTGCACGCCCCCCACTGGGGATGTGCCTGCAACCAAGGCACATGCCCTTGACCGGAATCGAACCCGGGACCCTTGAGTCCGCAGGCCGACGCTCCATCCACTGAGCCAAACCGGTTCTGGCCTCATCATTGATGTTGAGGAAAATAGTAATCAGATTGCCCCCTGGTGAGGGTGAGCCTGGCAGGTAGTGATGGTGTGTGTGGGAAGAGGGGTGTCCTCCCCTTCCCACTTCCCAAGTGAGGCTTTTCTCCTCCTACTCAGGGTAACTTGATGGTGCCAGTGCTTATAGGCTGTCCACCGGGAAAGCGCCTGGCCTTTGACATCACCTACACCCTGCAGTACAACAACCTACAGAACAGACACTATTTTGACTGCGTTCACGTAGACCCCGAGATGCCCTGCTTCCTCTTCCGTGACAGTGCGTGTCCAGTCTCCTCCTCTGCATTGTTCACTGTCCTCTGCCCCCACCACTTTGCCCTCCCTGCCCCTTACCTTCCACCCACTCTCTGCTCTTCCCCTTGGTCCTCTCTCTCTTTTCTCTCTTCACCATCCTCCACTTCTCGAGCCAAGCTAATTTCTCCTCCTCCTGGCTTCAACCCCCTCCCACCCACAGTCTTCCACCCCTTCTTCTTGATCCAAGATTTGGTGACGGGAGAGTCTGGCAGTTTTGAGGGCAGGTAAAGGCATATCCAAACCAGGGCTGATGGGTGGGGGTAGGGGTCATAGATATGATGCAGGACTCAGGAAACTGAGGCCAGTTGGTGTGCACCTCTGCTCCTGTC